TTTTTTATTATTTTTAATTAACAAAAATAAATACCTCTTAAAACATAGACGAGGAATGGTTCGGACTTGAACTCCACACCTTGAACTGTTGTTTTGCATGTGTATGAGCCTGCAGGAAAATTCCCAATGAAGCCTTGTTTGCTATCATAGAAGGCAAAGACATCCTTGTCCAAACTGTTAATTAAAGTCACTTGAGCATTTGGGTCACTGGTACGACAGGGAATAATGGTAGGATCGCCTTCTTCTGCTAAGATGAACTGATCTTCTGGTATGGAAGGAACAAAGGGCATGTCTGGATCTGTGAAGAACAAGTTGTGGTTTTGTTTGTAGTAGTCCATACACAAGAACAGGGATATCAATGAGCAGTTATAGATCTTAACTCATGTTAGTACAATTCATCATACCACATAGCTCATTCCTTCTCTTCTTCAGTTAGATTATTTTTTTCCTTTGTAATATTAGTGGTCTCTTAAATCATATGTAGGCATGTCTAGAAAAAAATTTGTTTTTAAAATGCAAAAGTAGAAATCAGTATGGAGTTGTTTATGGCTAACACTTTTAAAGCCATATTTCATCAAAACTAATTTCAAGTACTTATCTTTATGCATTTCTAACATGTCTAACATTATGGCTATGAGGTATAATTAATTATAGTTATAGTATGTGGTTTCCACAATATTATGATCAACCATAAAAAAAAAGATGCTTGTACTTTTTAAATCAACAAAATAGGTGTCAGCTTTCATGCCCAAGCAATCCCCATTCTGAGTTTAAAACACAATTGCATAACATATCAAACTTTAGAACTACGCACCTCAAATTATCTAAATTTGGCTGTTTGAAATAAGCAAATAATCTCTCCTAGGCTGAAGCTTCTGAGCAAAGCTTTCTAATGAAATTTAATAAATAGCAATACAAATCCTGCCAACAATAGAATTTGTGCTGCCTTGGCAGGCTCTTTGTAGCGATATCCCAAACACAGCACTCCCATCCAAACAGTCTGCCAACAACATGGATTTGTTTTCCCAATGTAATTTGAAGCGGAGACAGGATTCACCCAGTTTAATTTAGTGAGACTGGGATACTGCTTGAAGTCCCAGAGCAATCCACCTTGGTTAGAGTGGGTTACTGCCACCCATTGCCCTCCTAATTCACTGCAGTAGAAAAACAATTGTAAAGACAGACTCTAGAGTGGGAACAGAAATGTTCCCTGTAATTTGGAGAAAAAGATATGTTTCCGCATTTCTGACATCTTGATGTTTAGCGAGCAGAAAAAAAATTACAGGGTGTCTCTGCCCTGCAAATCTGGTGGGTTGAAATCTAGAGGCATTTAAAATTCAGTGAAAAAAACCCTCTTGAAGGAATCTTCTGTCTTGCCTTTATATCCCTTTGTTATGTGGAAAGCTCTGAGTTTGGGAAGTTACAAGGCTGTGTAACTGCATCAAAATCTTTTGGTGATTTGCTTAGGGATGTTTGGAAATTGAAATACATGTGCCAAAGTCTTTGCAGCCTATGCTGAAATCCGTTATTGCTCCAGGACTCAGTACGAACACTTTGAGTTCATTGTGGGAAACATAGCGGAAATCTTGGAAGAATCGTTTCAGTCAAATCACACATCATGATCTGCACAAGCTTAACACTGCGGTAAAATAGCTTTAGAAGATCTCTTTGGTGTGCTCTGTATTTTTCACCTTCCACCGTCTTCCTCACAGTTTCGGACATCATTTCCCTCATAACGTATTTAAGCTTTACAGAGTCATTTGCAGTCCCTTCTTCGTTCTTCCCTTTCCTGTTCAAAATATTTACTGCAAATCCCGCAGCCTGTTCTGGTGTGACTCTGCAGTTCTGCCACTCATCCCCTAAGCGCCAGCAGAGCCCAGGAAACTTTGCATAGCACTTTGCCAAGGCTCAGCCTGCGGTGCCTTTCTCAGCTACCATGAGAAAACATGTTGATCCCATCACGGCACAGAAAGCTGCTAAAGGAATTTGCACGTGGAACAAAGAGGTGGGAGGGCAAAGCCGGTGATCAGTACTTGTAAAAATAAGGGATGCCGTTTCTTCTGGCTCCAAGAGGTTTTTCCATGACTGAAGGGAAAGGTGGCATGGGGACAAGGCTGTGTTTGCCATGAAAATTACAGGGCACTGCAAGAAATGATGCTTGGAAACACCATGTTTTTGATCTTGCACCAGACTGGCCAACAGTAGTGTTTCTTGTGCTGACGTCGCTTGTGAGCTACCCCAGGCCATCTCCACGGCTTTCTTTATCGCCTCACTCCCAGTGCCCTGTGCACACACAGGCACTTCCCAGACAATGTTTGACCAGAAGCTCATTTTTCACTTCTGACTGCCAGTTCAAGCCTTGCTCTGGCTAAACATGAGCAAGGGCCTCTAGCATCTGGTGACTAGCTTTAGTGTCAAACACGATGCTGTTTTTTGCTCACAGCAAACTGACACCACTACGTATCTTCTAACCATCCACATGACAGTCGGCCTGCTCAAACCTGCAAACTTTTCTGTGACCTCCAGCACTTACCAGGCACATAGATGTAGATGTCCTTCCCTTCCACTTCCCCGTCCTCCACCTGGGTGTGATTGTAGTAGCAAATGTACAAGCCTGTGTGCGCGGCTGAGGCATTCCCGACTTCCAGCACGGTCACAAAGAGGCCACTGTTGTTCTCTTCATGCCTAATGTCTATCATGTGGCTTCCCTCGCCCAACGGGTACTGCCAGCTCACTTCGCTGTCCCCAGAGCATCTCAGTGTGAAGTTGGAATTCAGCTGTACGACCATTTTGTTTCTACTGGGAACAATAGTTGGCAGGGGAAGCTGGCAAAATGCTAGAAGCGGGCCTGCAAAAAAAGAGCGGAATAAATAGCACATGAGCATACGCAACATCCTCAGCACAGGAGTGTGGAAGAATGAAGAAGAGACCAACAGCAGACACTTTTATGCCAATTTCTGACACACTGGTATCTCAGGACATTTGCTTTGTTAAAAGCCAGAGCTTTCCCCAGTGAAGGGCAAATGGCTTCCTTTGAAATGCAAAGCAGATAAATGTTTGCTTGCTGAGCTGGGTTTGGCAAATCAAGAGGTGAAAGACAGAGGTGAGGTTAGAGATGGCTCCCAATATGCACCTCAGCTTCCCAAGTTCCAGATGCGGGCACTGAGTGCTGCAGACCAGTGAATCCCAGCTTTGGCTTGAATGGATTTGGCATGGATTTCACTGAATCCATGGCATTTTACAAGCTGGTCTGCAGATCCTCACGGTAGTGGTCAGGAAATCAGCAATTCTGTGATCCTCTGGAGAAGCTCACCCTTAGCTCACCCTTAGCAGTCAGGCCAAAATGTACACCATGCTTCTCTAGGCCAACATCTGCCCTTTACATCTGGCATCTAGTTCTGCGGAGGGCCAGAGCAGGAGCCCAGATCCAAGCTTTGTGCATCAGATCTACCCCAGCCAAAAGGTACAGAAAGCTTATCGCCAAATCAAACTATAACTCATTGGATTAGATGTTTTAGATGGCACTGCTTTTCAGATGCAGTCTAGATTTACAGACTCTCAAGCCTACGCAGTTTGTAGGTGGGTTGGTCCAGGTCCAATTCCCAGAAGAAAAATCATCCACATCCTAAGCCCCACAGAATGAGACAAAACAGGATTCACTAGGGAGACAGATTTGCTGTTTCAGCCTATCAAATATCCCGCACAAAACCTATACAGTAGCCCATGATGCAAAGACATTTAGGCCCATGGTGTGAAAGTGGGCTCTGTGCAATAAACCCGCTGTCAGCATCCAGACTTTCTTTGAAAGTCACTTCTCACTTTTGCACATGTTATCTCGGTCTACCGGCTCGTTCTATATTTGGCACCCTGTGGCCACCCCTGCCCTCCCCTCCCAGCACCATTCGCTTGGCAGATGTGGCTGGCTTGACAGGCAGCCCGGCGAGTGTGGTTACGTGGTGTGGAGCGGGAGGATGCAGGGAGCCCACACAGGCAGGCCCGCCTGCACCATGCTGCTGGAGAAGCTCCAGGGTGGCAGGGCTGGGACAGCCCGAGGGACATGGAGCCCTTTCCCCTGGTGAGGGGGATTGTAGAGCTGCAGAGTGGCCAATGTAGTTGGCACAGGCTAGCAGAAGTTCTGGTGTCTGCCCTTGTTTTGGCTACTAAAGACAGGGCCAGAAGAAGGGGAGCTGTAGCCGTCTGCCAACCATTCGGCATTTGTCATTGCAGACACAAAGAAAATAAGCTGGAATAGGGATTAGCAGAGGAGCCGGGATGAAGGGCTTTGGAGAAGTATTACCTGTGAAGAAACATCCCAGGATCAGGAATGTCCTTGGGGAAGTACCCATAGCTATGAACCACTGAAACAGAAAGAAGGGAGAGTAAGTAGTTAAACAGACTGGTAGCAGATGTGAGAGCTTGCAGCAACCCAGGTGCCCCAGGCCAGCCTTCATTTGGTCTGCAGAATACCATAGTGAGGAACAGCAACCCAGGCCCGCACCACAGCCCTCGCAGCGCCAGGGTCAGATGCCCTGCACGGGACGCGCAGCCAGACGGACACCACGGCTGCATCCCCCGCACCGATCGAGCGCCTCACACAAGCCTGTGAGGATAAAAATGATGCTACATGTATGCAAGAAGTTCTGACTTTTTAGCTGCAAGCTGATTTTATGGGAGAAACGGCGTATTTTACCACTGCTTTTGCTACAAGCAGTACTATTGCCACTGGTCTTCTTTTTGCCATTGTTCATATGCATATATATAGTTTACTGAATAAAATATGAATACAATAGTGTTTCCTTCATATCTAGCAAGAATGTCCTTGATCAACAGAGAAGCTCTCTAAAACTTAACACCCACACTTTCTAACAGAATCAATATATGACAAAGTGTGGCCAGTGTTCACATGCATAGAGCAACTCGTTCCCCAGTGATGTGTAGAGTCATAAATCATTTGAGACAACATCTTTCAAGCAAATAATCATAAGTAATCATCTTCAGAGTGATAAAAACAGAAATAAGCATCTTTGTAATTTTTGAACCATCAAAATACATTTCTGTTCAAAACTCTCAACCAGCCTGCTAGGTAATTTCCAAAGAAAAAGCTCCTACAACTCCTGCTCCCATTGAAATCAATGGATGCGTTGTTCGTGATTTTAATAGAGCTCAGATTTGGCCCAAAGCCAATATAGATTAAATAAAGACTGTACAGAAGAGCCTCTGATCTGAAACTCGAATCAAGGAGTAAATAAAAGGATGATGTGCCAAGACAGGGACTACTTGTCAAAGGACCTGGACAATTTCTATTCACCCTCTGGTATTCAAATCCTGGTTCTGAGACAGGAAAGCACGTAGGTGCATCTCGTTATTAAGACTATGCCAGTGTTGGACAGCAGATAAATGACTACCAAATGACAAGGAGTATTCATAAGCTAGTCCCTCTTTCCTCATCCAACATGTGGAAGAGACTGTGGTCTCTTGCAAAGCAAAAAGTGTTTGATATTGCAATAAAACATGAAGGTTTCAGAAGCAGGATTAGAAGCCTTACAAAGTATAAGTCCAAAAAAAAACATGCACAAACAACTTCAGAAATTTGACTCACAACATTCCAGCAGAGGCCAGCCATTCTGCCTGATTCTTCATTAGCAATAATTGTCATGTGTTTATTTATCTGTCTCTCATTGATAACAGATTCCTGCACATCAAAGAAGTCGCTTGGCTTCAGCCTCCTTACTCATTTTTATCACATTTATATCCTGTAATTTTTCAGATAAAATAACTCACTGTAAATTGTTAAAGAATTCCCATGGTCTGCTTTATTGATCTGCCTACTAAGCACCCAAGATCCACAAAACCGTGTTACCCTGCTGTCTGCCAAATTTCCTTCTGCCTTTTCTGTCTGAAAAAGCAGATCTCTCTCCCAGCACATTGTTTTTCTAGAGTTTTCAACGCAAGTCATGCAGCACAGAAAGAGAAAACACAAAGCTAATTCATCTATTACACAACGAATAAGTCTGGAGAGGCTCTGCTGCAGGAGGCTTACACTGTTGCTATATGGGAACAGGGGGTCTGAAAACCCATGAACACACTGATGTAAATCCAGGTGATAGCTTGTATTTCCCAAGTGCTACTTGTAATTCACTTATTCCGGCTGCCATAAAAATCAGAATTGAAAAACTTGATCAATTGATGCAGTTCAAAGACAGAAGGACTTGCTGAATTTGCCTTTTCCAAATGATGTTTCTTTTGTAACCTTTAGTTTTCATCTTTTCTCCATGACCTATTAATCTCAGCAAGACTCAGAGCAACACTTACCCACTGGGAAAGACTGACTAATACATTAATCAGTCATCATCATCCACACTCAAAATCTATTTGAATTGGATTTAATTACATTGCATGTCTGATATTAGCCCTGTTCCACTGCATCCTGGCACACGAGTGCTGCAGTGAAGGGCTAACACAAGTACAATTTCACACTGTTCTTCTGGGCAAAAGAACACCTAATTTTTGAGTGCACTGTTGTTTTGTTTGTTTTTTTTTTAATATTCCATTAGATGGAACAGCCCTTTTTGTCGCAAACGACCCAAACTTCAGTTGAATCTGGCCCTGAGTAAACATGCCGAGTTCAGTTCTTAACATCACCCCATCAAACCACACATTGGTGTGAGCTCACCGAAGTCAGTAGGCTTATGCCCCCTGAAAGCCCAGTATTCATAGCACACACACCATGCAGGTTTGATCCAGCCTTAATTCCTCACATGCCTGAAATATTGCTGGTTAATACAGAAACATGTGAATGTACAAAAAATAAATAAAATGAAATGAAAAGCTAAATAGTGTCATGAATTGTTTGCCAAACTTTGTGGAAGAGGATTACCCAGAGCAAAACAGTCATTGCATCTACTTTAACCAATGGGCTGACTGAGATTAGGTATCTCTGTTGTGTGCTTTAATGATAAAAAAATAAAATGGGAAGGGAGCATCAGAAGGACTTTTACTGTCAAGGAGCCAGGCTTCCAATTCCTCATGGCTAAGCTTCAGGCTTTCTACCAAAAGTAGTTTCATTGACTGCTGTTAAAGCCAAACTAAAATCAATATCCAGTATGTCAATCCAGTATGTATTAGAATATGGTGATATTCTTAACCAGTTGATTTACATGAACTAAAGAGAAAACATTGTGGTGGTGTGTGTCGGGGGAGAAGATTTTTTACTGTAAATCAAATAAAAACTCTCTCAAGACAGAAAAATACCGCATCTATCAGAAATCTGGAGCCTGGAAGACTTATTTCCCATCAGCTATCTAGTCGTAATACAGTTCATCCTCTTGGCCACAGGATGGCAATGTTGATCCACATTAATGAACCAATTTTCTTGTCTGGCAGAAGGAAGCGCTGGTCCCAAATGTACCACATGGAATCTAAGCTAGGTCTCCTGAATTGACTTAACATTCGAATTACTTTTATATTCTCATTTTATACGAGTTTTTGAAAAATAAAAAGAAACAAAGAAAAAGAAAAGATTCCCATTGCCCTGTAAGGTAATGATAAGCAATATGATAACATTCGGGATGTAAATCTTAATATATAGTAACATGATTTTCCTTGTTATGAGAAGGGCTGGATACTTGCAGTGGCAATTTTGTCACTATAGCAGTTTGTCCTTCTAGAGAAACTGTTTTTTCCTAGGAAGACCTAAGGCCAGCCTAGGAGATCATTTCCTATACTTCAATAGCTGAATGTAAGTGTTCAGATGGGCCCTCTTGGATATTTTCTTGATGCTTAATTCCCTTTCTCAGAGGTGTCCACAGAGGCATAACTGCTCTTAAGAGCAATCAGAGAGCTCTGAAGGTTTTACTGAGGAAAGGCACAAACAAGAAAAGCAAGTCAATCCATACCTTGAAAAAGCCTGGCACAAGTATTTTCCTAAACTGGTGTTTCTTCCACATCCCTTTATGAGTGTTGCATCCAGCATAGCCTCCTCTGAGCCATGTGGGAAGAGCTAGCGCTAGGCAGGCACAAGTAACCAGCAGCAGGCATGCAGCTTCGTGCAGGCAGCGTGCAAGGCTTGTGCGGGCAGCTTCATGCTGTGCAGAGCTCCCCAGAGAGCCTTCCAGCCAAGAGGCTGGGCTCCACTGGCCCATCAGGATGCAGAAGCTGAGAAGGTGTTTGCAAAGTCTAAATTTCCTTAAAGGACTTTCCAGACCGTCTCAGAAGTCAAAGACTGGCACTTCCAAGGAATCAGATAAGGAACTTCGGAAAACACTTCAGATTCTCACTTAGGTGCTCTGAAGCATTGCTTGGAAAAAACAATCCCTCTCTGTTGGGTACAGGATCTGGGAAGCCAGCTCTTGTGAACCTCTCCCTTGGGTGCCCATGTAAATCTTTTTTGACTTAAAAAAGATGGATCCAGCAGGACCAAGAGGCAAGAGGGAGAGAAGGGACTGCTTACTTCTCTTAAATTACCATCAATTCTTGTCAGCAACAGCAAAAATGACCTCTCAGAAGTCATACTCTGGTCTTCAAAACGAGCAAAGTAGACATAGTCTATTGAAGTTTTCAGAGTTCACACGTTGGACTAGTGCCACTCTGGCCATGAGGCACAAAGGGTACAAGGTTTGGGACGGTAATCCATTTCACATTTTGTCGTTTCACATTCTATTTGAGACCAAGTAATATGGTTGGAAATAACCAACAAGGTCTGTGGTATGCAAGTCTTTTTTTTTTCCCCTTATATAAATGACACTCAAATCCTAGCTTGATATTGTTGCACTGTGGAAAGGTATTTGATTCAAATATTTATTACTTCCTGCTTTCGCGAAATGCAATATGTATATATTACTCCGAATGAACTTCCATATATCAGACAGCAAATAGAAGGAAGGTGGCCAGATGGTCCTGGCACCCATTGCTGAGGTATGTCCCACCTTCAGCCTCTCAATGTCCACAGAGAAGCACCATGACACAAGTCCCATTTTAAGCAAGGGTACCGCCTGAGAGCTGGGAGAGCAGACTCCTAATCCCTGCCCTTTCATCGGTGCAATCTCATTTTCCTTTAAACTCTTTTTCAAGCCCCGAGACGAAGGTTGACTGAAACCACTGTTCAGCAGAGGGCCTCTGTAAAAACGCTCATTGTTACCTAGAAGCCAAAAGCGAAGTCCCTTGCTGGGAGACCTTCCTCTCTCACTTCTAGACGCGTAATTAAAAGCCAGATCGCCCCAAATCACATTCTGCGCCAGCCAGCCGCTCACAGAGCAACCTTTGATGCTCCTCTCCTCGCTTTACCAGATCCCGTCTCCTGCCCCGTCAAGGGACACGGAGGCGACGCACGAAGCTGAGAGCCCGGTGGGGATGCCGGGGGTTCAGGAGGTGCCCCGTTCATTTTGGGGCTGGGGTGACATGAGCACCCTCCGAAGCAAAACCTGGCGGAGGTGGCAGCTCCCGGCCCTGCTCGTCTAGGAAACAATAGGAGAATGTTTGCCAAGACGCATTTTTTTTCCTTATTCTTACGCGACCTAGCCAAGGAAAAAGAAAAGGGGTCGGGGAGTGGGAGAGGGCGAAAGCAAAGGCGCTCCCCCCGCGCCCGGACCCGCGGAAACCCGGTTGCGCTCGGGCTGGACGTGAGCTCCGGACCCCGCTTCCCAGCCCGCTCTGATGCGAGAGGCACGGAGCCCCCCGCAGCAGGAACCGCCAGGGCCCGGCGGTACCGGGGCTCGGAACAGCGGGGACAAGGGAGAACGAGGCGGTCGCAGACCCGCCGACGTGTCCACCCGGGCCGACCCGGGCCATGCGGGTCCGTGGCGGTGGGCGGGTTTTGCAAGGGACGCTCCGAGAGACCGTGGAGGGGCACGGGGAGCGAGCCCGGGGCTGGGGGCGACCGGGTTCCGCCGGGCTGGGGGCAAAGCCCAAGGGCCGCCTGCAGGGACTCGGGGCTGCCGCTGCCTCCCGAAATCTGTTGCTGCTCGCTCCAGAGGAAAAAGAAAAAAAAAATCTGTCCAAGTCCTGTTCTCTGGAACGGCTCCTGAGCTGCTGAATCTCCATCCAAAAATGTTGAGCAATGCCGCGGAGATCCAAAAATCCATTTCCTACTTACTCCCAGGGCTTTCCAGGGGACTCCAGCCTGGCAGAGGCTGGGGGG